CCCCTCCCATGGGCAGGGACACCTTCCACCAGACCCCACCTCAGGGTCCTGCCCTGCTCAGGCCCTCCTGCCCACAACAAACCCATTCCAGGTGGTGCCCACACTCCAGCCCCAGCAGGGATTTTCCAGTGATGTCAATCGCTCGTTCAGGGACTGAGACTGCAGGAAAACCACACAGCTCTGCCCAGGAGAGCTGCACTCCCATGCCAGGGATGCCAGCAGAGCCAGGGCAGGCTCCAGTGACCCTCCCACCCCTTCCTCAACCCCCTGGCCGTGCCCCTGCCCAGTCAGGGCAGCCAAGGGGCAGCTCCAGGCTGGAGGTTGGTGGTGCARCAGAGGAAGGCACTCACACAAACAGAACCTCACACCCTGGGGGCAGCTCTGGGCTCCTCACTGCATGAAAGACATTGAGGGGGCGAACCATATCCAGGGAAGGCAACAGAGCTGGGGAAGGGGCTCAGCCTGGAGCAAAGGAGGGTCCGGGGGGACCTTGTGGCTCTGCACAACTCCCTGACAGGAGGGGACAGCCGGGGGGGTCGGGCTCTGCTCCAGGGAACAGGGACAGGAGGAGAGGGAATGGCCTCAGGCTGGGCCAGGGAAGTTTAGATTGGATGTTAAGGAAAAWTTCTTCACTGAAGGGGCTGTCCAGCCCTGGCACAGCTGCCCAGGRCAGTGATGGGGTCACCATCCCTGAGGGGATATAAAGGATGTGTAAATGTRGCACTTGGGGACATGGGTGAGTGGTGGGTTTGGCAGTGCTGTGGGAATGGCTGAGCTCGATGGGGGCTTTTCCACMCTAAACCATTCCACGATTCCATGATTCCGGGATTGCTGTAAATCCAGCCGCTACTAGAGGGCAGAGCGAGCCAGGAGAGACAGGTGGTTCGAGCTGTGCGGGAGCTGCGATGTGGGAAACGTGTTCGCTTCCCTTTCCACGGAGGCATGTGGGGGAAGAAAGAACTCGAGCAGCACGAGGGATAATCTGTGACACGGTTTGAGGTTTGGAGGGAGATGACTCACGCTTTGATTTCTTTACGGAGCGCTCCAGGGCGGGATTAAGCCGTGTTTGTCAGGAAGGCGCCGCATCCAGCGGCGGRGAGCAGCTCCTCATTCCCAGCACATCAGGCTGCTGCTCCCGCAGCCCCGAGCGCAGCTCCCGGTGCTCCTCGGGAAGAGMAAACAGGCGAGGACACCCCAAAAGGGACGGCTGCCATCTCCTGAGCACTCGCYGGGCTGGACCTGGGGGTCTGGCCCGAGGCTGTGTCCCACCCAGRGCCCGTCGCTTTCGCAGGCAGCGATTAAGGGCTGCTCTGCCGTGCCCGGAGGTGCTCGGGCAGCTCTGCAGCCCCGRCTGCTGCCCCCTCACTCCAGCCCTTCCTGCAGGAGTCCCTGGAACMTTCCTCGAGCAGCCAGGGTAGCACAGACACTCAGGATGAGCGCTTTGGATTCATCGTGGACTGCCTTGGCCAACTGTCCCTGCGCTGGTGCACCAACTGGTGCTACCAGAGGTGTTTTCATCTCAAACAACGAAGTTAAAGCTTTCCCTGTCCCGAACAGGGCCAGAAGTGCAGCCAGTCAGGGTGGGAAGGCTGATGCTGCTGCCACGACCACCACAGCCCGTGACAGCACCAGAGAGGAGTTTGGGGGACTCACCTTGGGCTGGGAGGGACTGCCATTGACGGGAGGGGTCAACAGCCCCTCTGCCATGCACGGGAGGGGTCAGCAGCCCCTCTGCCATGCACGGGAGGGGTCAGCAGCCCCTCTGCCATGGCACGCTGTGCCCGAGGACAGAGCTGTCCCCTCCTGCAGCTCTCGATGACCCCCAGCCCTCGCTCGGACAGCCCCGGAGCTCTCAGCGCCGCCGGAGGTGGCAGGAGCAGGTGAGCACCTCATGAACCCTGAAACTGCCAGGGACAAACACAAAAGGTGTCACAAGTGCCCCTGAACAGCACCTCCTGTATCGCTGGGTGCTGTCAGTCCCCACACACCTGAGCTGGGGGGCACAGGGTGTCTCACACAGCTCGGCTGTCTGCTCACACACAGGGCTGAGCAGGGAAAGGCACGGAGCTGCTCCTGGAGCACCAGCTCTGCCCTGTGTCCTGGAGATCCTGGCCACAGCCTCAGGGGGTGGCCGGCCCGTGTGCTAAGGCGGGTCCGTCAGCAGGGGGTCCTTGCAGAGCCGCTCTGCCTCTTGACCAGCTACAGATTAGGAACGTCCCTTTCCAGGGCTGGGGGGGATGGTTTGTGCTCGGAYTCTGCGGTTTCCAGGGGTGCTGCAGCGTGGGGAGGGCAGGGGGCGGGCAGCAGCACCCACAGACCTGAGCAGCACCCTCAGCCCAGGCTCTTCCCAGCTCCGTGCCCAGCACAGGAAGGTTTTACCCGAGTTTTCTGGGGGTGTCAGCCCAGCAGTGCCCTCTGCTCCWGCTCAGGGGCACAAACCAGCAGCATCCCGGCTTCTCTGCTCCTCGAGCCGCTCCCCCTGGAGGGTCTGGGCTGGCTTTGCCCTGGGCTGTGGGACAGGAGCCTGCAGAACCCCTGGCCAGGCAGCTCATGGAGATATTCCAGGCTTGCCATGAGCCAACTTCGTGCCACGATGGAGTTGGGCAGTGCCCCACCCTTCAAGGTGAGAAGCTGATGGGGAATTCTCTGTTTCCCARGGGAATTCACTCTGTCACTGGATAAACTATGCAAATATCAGTTAATAACAGCAAATTAATGAACCAGAGGAAAAACTTATCCTGGGGGCACATCCACAAACTTTTTGCCAGCGATCCCATGAACCCCTCGGGGTTTTAAGCAGCTTGTAGTCAACGATGGCTGCCACCTCAGTGGCACTGGGGACAAACGAGCACGGTGCGGCCCAGGTGAGCACCCGGCCCCAAACCCCTCAACTCCGCCACGCCTCCCTCAGCTCAGCACAACAAAGGCTGTGCATCTGCACTGGGGTGCCAGGAGGCTGCCAAAGCCCCTTGTTTTGGGCTGTGGACCCCCATTTGGCGCAGGAGGAGGTGGCGGGTGCCGTGCCACCGCCGCACGCGTTCGCCTCCCGCGCAGGCTGCTGCGAGGGCTGAGGTAATCCTGGGTAATTCCCGACTTCCATGGAAATGCCTCCGGGCCGCGATGATTATCGCTGTAATTAGCCTCTCTGATTTTTCTCGGTGTTCTATAAAATATTAATTTACAGCTGGATSCTTGCCTCCTTTGTGCGCCGGCTTGAGCTGTTCCCATCGGCGCAGCAGCTCTGGCACCTCGCTCCGGGGTCCCGCGGGGTTACGCGGCGGAGCTGGCGGCTGCATCGCGCTTGGGGTTGGTGGGGCTGGGCTCAACTTCCCCTTCCCCACAGGAACATGCCCTCGTAGCTCCTATTTCAAAGGAAATGTGGAAAACCAGTGAAGCACGTTCGGAAAACACCCTCCACGCCTCCTCAGCTGGGTGGCTGAAGGTGAGCAGGCAGCTACACCGCTSCAGAAGCCCTTCAGGACAACACAGATCCACCCTGTTCCTCTCTTTGGGACAGAAAGAGTGATTTTGCTCAACTGCATAGGAAATCAGGTTGGCAGCAGTATCTGAACAGCACCGTGTCCCTCTCTGAGCCTGGAGCCCCTGCAGTGAATGCRGTGCTGTGATTGCCACTGCCAAAGTGAAGCCAAATGTGGGATTTGGTGGCATGTAGTGCCCTGAAAACACACTGCTCACATCAGCATTTTTAAGTTGCCTCGTTTTTCAGCCAAAATATGTAGAATTGACTTTAATCTTGCTAAAAAGGTGGAAAAATGCCACCTCTAATATTTTTGATCCCCAACATTGGGAAGGTCGGGCAGAGGAAGGATGCTATGAGGTGCTGGTCCTTTCATTGCCTCCTCCCTGGGACAAGCCTTGGGCTCCAGACGCTGCATCCCAGCATCCCTGCCAGTGAATGAGAGCTGCCAGCTCCCCAAGGCTGTCCCCGAGCTACTCATTCCTCTGGGGCAGTGTCTCTGCCAGGCCAGATGTAGCAGCTGTCTGACTACAACTCAAGACTAAAGAAAGGAGCATTGCTAATGACAGCAAGGGCTGTGCCCAGCATGGGAATGTCTCTGCCGGGAGCTGCTCGCCACCAGAGATGCTTTCTGAGAGCTTTGGGCCAAGCAGCAGATGCTGTCAGTGAGGTTTTGTCCTCAGGACAGCTCTACATGTCCCTGTGTCACTAAAACAAAGCCAGGTCACAAAGCTCCTGGGAATTTGTATTCTCTGAGGCCATGTGCCCCTGCAACACTTCCCAAGGTGTTTGCAGGGATATTTGCATTGRTCACTCGTGCCCTGCTGCAGAAGCAGACACACTCTCTGTGCAGGTGCCAATCCCTTTGGCAGAGGCTCTGACAGCACGATTTGAGCCAGGCACAGGCTGCTGACAGCCACGCTTTGCCCGGCTGGCCRGGGGCTCATCAGCTGTGACACGAGGTGCCAGCTCTCCAGGGATGCCAGATGTGCATCTGGAGAGCCTGGCTGTGCTGCTGCCATCCACTGCATCCCTCACCAAGCTGGCAGGCTCAAGGCTTTGAGGAAAGCCATGTGGCAGGCACAGAAGGGTAATTTAGCATTGAGTCCAACCAGGGAAGAGCAGCTTTATCTGTTTTTCCTCAGTGTTTCCTTCATCTCGTGGTCATGAAGCTGCAGAACCTCCGGGTGGGATGGTCTTACAGCAAGCAGAGCAGCTCCTGCCTGAGCTTCCCAGAGCTTCCCAGGCTGCACCTCCCTCCTGGATGAAACCTCCACCATCTCACCCAGCCCAGACTTTTAACCCCCACTTTTTCAGCCCCTCTGTGTTTTTACTCCCCAGTCTCACTGGTGTTGTCCAGTCCAGCCCAGTGACACCTGTACCAAAAAATGCTCTGTCCGGTCACCATGTGTCCAACATCCAGGAGGGATGCTGTGCCCTGTGCCTGTGTCTGGCTCAAGGTCCACAAATATTAACCCGCTTCCTGCTCTGTGTGAACCTTCTACACCTCTGGAGGGAAGAAGTCCGTGAGACAGAGATGAAATCTCCATTTCTATGGCAAAGGGCTCTCCCATTCTCTCACTGCTGTTTTTAATCCAGCCTCCCTCTGCTGCTGTTGGGAATGAACATTTTGGGACCCAGCTTCCCTGTGCACCACCCGGGGTACCCCAGGCCCCTTCTCTCTCAGCTTGCAAGGGCTTAATGAAATAAAACCAGCAGGCCAGGAACCTCAGCCCGGCTTTCTGGTGCTGTGGATATTAAAACTGAGTGCTCGTTGTGTCGGCAGAGGGCAGTGGAAGATGCTTCCAAACCTCCCAAGCCTCCCCCGGCCGCGCTGTGGAGATGGGGATCCGGGGAGGAGACTCCACCAGAGAGGAAGGGAAATAAAAATGCAGTTCCTCCAGCAGTGAGGCTGACCCGAGCGCGGCRTTACCGCCGGCCACCCCGCCGGGCAGGGGCATTTGGGCTCATCCATCGGCRCGGCGCCCAAGCGGGAAAGCGAGGGGAGGAGAGCGCGTTTCCCATCGGCTCATCCCTCCTGCTCGGGTCTCTCCGACGCTCACAGAGGCTGCTCAGAGCCARGCAGAGCCACCGCTCCTCATCCTCTGGCTGGGAGGAAGCGGATGGCGATGGAGCTGGCAGTGATTTGCCGGCGGGAGCAGGCGGGAAGGCCGAGAAGAGGTTTTCCTGGCTGGAGCCGTGTCTCAAAAGGGTTTCTCCAAGCCCGGCGAGCCGCGGCACGTAGACAAAAGGTTTTCCAGCCCGCAGCCCGTGGCCGGGTGCTGCTCTCCGGCTGCGGGAAAGGCAGGGAGATTGTGCGGCCCTGCTGCCGCTCCCTGCCGGCTCCGCACCCTGCCCTGTAATTAATATCCCTGGAGGTAAAGAAAGAGCAGCGGGAGGTTGGGATGTATTATTTTACTCTGATAGGAATCTGACACTGACACAGCCATTAGGGGAAAGAAAGAATAATAACTCAGACTTGGCATATATGAAAGTGTAAATACCTTCAGCGTGTGAAAAGACAGGCTTTAATATATTGGTGGGTTTGTAATTATTTATTGAAAGAAGGGAGAAGGCAGAGCTTGCTGCAAAACATAGCAGAGGCGAGGGAACAGCTCCCAGAATCATTGGTTTTGGGTGGCCGCTGCTATCCCGCCCGGAGAAGGCAGCGTGGGGTGACCGTGGCCCTGGGAACAGCCCCGTGCCGGGCTGATGTTGGCGGCTCCCCCCAGCAAGGAGCCGGGTTGGTGTCACAAAAACGCTCTCCAAACTTTCCGGGCTAGGGCGCCCCAAAAATGCCACCGGGGAGCCCGGCGTGGAAGGAAACGCATCCCCTCGCCGGCTGTTTTGCCACCTGCTCGGGCGGCTCCCGGGGCTCYGTGCGGGGCGGAGGGGAGCGGCAGCATCGCCCGCCGAGAGCCCCCGAGAGCGGGGCCACCGAGAGCCCTCCGGCTGCGGGGGCATCCCGCGGGCGCGGCCGGGGGCTCTGCGGGGCCGGGGGGCGGCGGCGGCTCCCCCAAGGCTCCCCACCG